GGTCAAGCTGGCAAGTTGAAATTGATGATGAAATTGAAGGGTGAATACTATATTTTAACGTAAGAATAATAGTTAGAATGTTAAGATGGCGACTGAGATCCCCAAGACGTTCAAAATACAAACAAATGCATTTCCCAATGTTTAAACATTTAGAAATAAATTTTGAAGAGCAACAAACGAACATAACATACTCTCATTCCAATGCGAAAATTTCTTCCGCAAATGAATTACCAATTTTTAGGTCGACAAACTCCATATTAACCTTTCAGTTATTCAAAGATTTTTTACCTCTCCAGACTACAAATGAATTACAAAAACAGTTCAACGATCAGCATTTCAATTTTTACACATCCCATGAACTGAGCAGTTACGGCCACGTTTTATATTTTTTTAGTAAAATTTTTAAATGTACAACAGCTTTTACTGTTTTAGTGATAAGTGTACGTTTTGGCTTCAGAATTCAAGAAAGTGATAATCCATCAATTCACTGCTTAAATATTTGATCTAAAGAATGCACATAGTATGTTTAACAAACAAAAAATGGGCAGGCTATATAGAAAACTGTGAAGGCATAAGGTAACAACAGGACCTTGACGTTCATCTTTTAAAATCCAAAGTTTTGAAAAATAACAGTAAAAGTGACATTTTTCTAGACACAATCTTGTTCAATTATCATTCTGTACTCGTTCATCACACCATATTTGAATCCAATTTGGATGTAACTATTAGTCAACAATAAAGAAATTGGTGTCTTCACGGGTCAACTAGACCTTTGAAGAGGCATATAGAAACCTAGTCCACGAGGCATTTTATTACCTTATATGATTGCCTGCCTGTTGAAGGTCAGAATCTCGGTGACAAGTTGAGGATGTGAATGAACACAGCTTCGGATACTGACAGGCAGAAAGATCTAGAAGCTCAATTAGAGCAACATCATGAAGCAGAAGCGGGATATGCAGCCAAACGTATTGACAAGGAAAATGCATCTAGCGATCCACCAAAAGAAGCATACACCTTTGTTCTGCAGCAGTACCTACCACCTCCTGACATTTAGACATCCTTCTTATTCCACAAGAGGCAATTATCGGCTCTCACAACAAGCCTTTGGTTACATGTCGCATGAGGGTTTAGCAGTAATTAAGTTGCCTCTTGCTTGTCAAAAACACATTAAAGACATTCCTGACACTGTCAGAAGTCCGACATTCTACTCAGGCACATGCACTGTAGAACATCAGATGGACTAGATAAATCTTGTCGGGCTGTGTGACGCTAACAAACGACATTCAAAGTCTCAGAAATGAACATAAGTGATTTCTTTGAATGTTAAGCTCTTCTCAAAAACGTATTGCAGCAAAGAAAGGTGAACACTAATAAAAAGAAGGTCTGGAACGAAATAAAATGTACAAGAAAAAGTGAAATGAGGAAGAGCCATTAAATGTAATAAATTTCATGAGGAAGGGTAAGGTTTGGCCAAATGAGATTAATCTATCTGGCGCCTTATTCAGCATCATATCCCATAAGCGTGCTGAAAAAACAAAATTTGATGGACTTGCTTCCGAATCGGATGATGAATGAAGCACTGCATGATCAATGGAAAGTTTTTGTAAAAAGTAGTATAAATACATTGGTTATACACATTGTTATACATTTTTTACAAGAAATGTCGTCTTTGACTATAATCAGAAGATAACCATACCTTTTAACATTTATACTAGTGTAAATTTTAAGTTTTGCAACATCCTAAAATGAAATTTTATCCAATTCCCCGTCAGTCGCGAATTGTAGTATTCACTTGAGGATCCCTCTAAAATTTCTGGCCATTGTCGATCTCTATGTTATGATATCTAACCACAATCAATCACAACATCCACCAACCACCACCACCACCAACCACCACCATCTCCATGATTACCCCAGCTTGGTGTCCCCGTCACACCACCTGGCACTCATTTATTCCAGAATGAAGAGCTACGTTCGTAGTGACGCGAATACGACGAAGGGCGGCCCGCGACGTTCGACGTCAAGGTCATCGAAGGGCCGACGCGACGCGGTGACGTCACGACGCCGACGGATGTGTAAGTAGAGAGTGTGTGTGTATGTTGTGTAATCGCTCGCGGTCTGAGTGACTGACTGGCTGCTGATGGTGGCTCTCGGTGGTCGGATGGGCCCAAGCCAGCCGCCGCTTACCTCTCTGCAGAGCGCCGTTACGGCATCGGTACCGCGAGCAGAATCTGCTGTGATAGAGACTCCGTAGGGTGTATAATATACACGAAAAAATCCAGTTGATAGTGCTCCAGCAAATATAATGGATTCGAATCCCATTTAAGCCCCGTCAAAACAAACAGCAGCGTGCGATGTTGAAATTCGCGCGTTCCTATTGGTGAACGAGCCATAAATGCCTAGGTGTGGCAGCGACAAGCCGCGATCGAATGCTCATGTTTGTTTTGACGGGGCACTGAAGAGATTTGAATACATTATAGGATCTATACCGTATGTGGGCGTTCGCATTTACTCTCCATAATAATTCATTCATACATTTTTTGTTCAAAAATTCAAGATCTAGATTACAATTCTGAAAGCTCGATGCGGAGGATATTCAAATCGAGCATTTTTTATACATTCAACAGACATTGTAACTTCCATAGGTACCCAATCATATCCTATTATAAATTCATTACTACGCTATACATATTTTTGTATTTGATAGGTACAGAATCCCGTACCATTCCATGTGTATGGAGTTTCATTATTCACCAAATTCCCAATTCAATGTATTCGCATCTTCAGGGAAAGCAAAAAAAAATAGCGAAACATGTGATATGGATGCAATGTACTATTGGACACCTTTTCCAGCCTAAGCAAGACTACAGAACTGTTTTCGTGCCTACTCCCTATTCAACGTTCCAACAAACTGGAAAAAGATGATCGCTTCATCTATTCACATTTCCCTGAAAACTATCTTCAAGCCAAATCTAATTTCCTCTTATATCACGGCACTACCTGAGAACTCGACATAATTATAGCTCACCGCGGGGACTCCACTCAAACATCAATTTTCATATATTACAGTATCAGGACTTTCTACAGCAAAATAGAAAATGCATTTCTGATTGTCGACCAGATTGACTAACTACGCGATACGTATTATGATTTGCTATTATTACTCAGCCTCGAGCGACGCGTTCCATGTAAGCATCTTCCTGATCCTTCACAATATCGAACCGATCAAAACTACTTAATAGGAAGAGAAAGCTGTCTCAGCGGGTTTGATTTAAAACCGCAAAACTTCTATTTCGAACATCGCGTTTCCCATACAGAGAAACATACATGCTACTACGAGTACTATACATTTAAGTTACGTAACCCTCCTCCTCTATCTCTCTCTCTCTCTCTCTCTCGCATTACTATGTACCATCCACTAGCGCTGTTGTCAAGATATAAAAGGAAAACTGTGATTTCTGTTAGTACCAGCACTGATAGCTCGAGAGCTCATGTACCATGAAATTTACATCATATACTCAGTGATATTAAAAGTATTATACCCAGAAAATATAATTTCTTCAACTTGATTTTTTGGCAATGATATGATCGATGTCTGAGTATGGCATCTAATTTTAAGAAATTCGAACTTCGTGGATTAGCTATGGCAGAGTCTGTGGCGGATGGTGCAAAGTGGATGGTCTCCTCCGCATCATATCCCATACATGTTCGATGGGATTTAAATCCTGTGCACGGCAACGGCAAAACATTAACGCCTGCTTCTGGAACAAAGTCCGTAGTACGAGGTGCAATATTGGGACGTGCGTTGTCCTGTTGTGGAAGCCCCTCTAGATACGGCCGTAAACTGGTTTGTAGGACAGCATCAATCTACCGCGCAGCAGTCATATTTCCTTGAACAAAGTGAAGAGGTGGATTGACTAGCATAGGCATTAGAACCCGAACCAATAGTCCAACAGTCTTGTGTAAATGCCTTTCAACAGCAAATCCATTATCACGCCGTTCTCCATGGCGGTTGTCTTACCCTTCTACTACAATCAAGATTCGTCGCTGAAGATGACGGTATGCCATTCTGCGTCCCAATGTTGTCGTCCTCTGCTCCAGTTCAGATGTTGACGACAGTGGTCCAACAAATCCAAAGGCTCAAATGCGGCGATAGAGATAAATACGCATACTAACAAGTCTACCTTCTTCTCCAAACCATTGGTCAGCGATCTGACGAGTAGTTGCAAAACGGTCTCGTGAGGCTAGTTATCTGAATCGCCTATCTTGACGCTCTGTGGTACGCCTCGGTGGACCAGTTGGCCTTCTTCGTGTCCTCTATGTTCTTCGATCCACACACGACACACACGCATTACTGTCATCGCAGTACAATTAACACGGCGGCCAATTTCGCGATAGGACAAACCAATATGTCGACAGTCAATAATTCAAACCCTGTGAAAGTCGCTAACACGGTGATAATTTGGACGTCTTCGAACTTCAGGCATTTCGTTAGGCTGCGGTCAGAGTGACACCGTTTTAGGCCGAATGATTTGTCTGTCGTTTACGGTCGAACGTTTCGGCCGAAGGTGATGGCCAGTATGGCTCCTTTGTCGCGGGAAACATTTGAAAGGTTCTGCCATAGTTCTCTCTACTCGATAGTTTGCGTTTGTAGCAAAATGAACTTTTATCTGCAGAAACGAGTAACATCTTAAAGATATTATTAATAGAAAACAAGAAATAGCACAAAAACTATATTTTTCGCTCCAGGACAAGATTCGGAGAATATCATACCCTCTTTCCGCAACTACTGGGGCAACCAGCAAAATTGTTTGAGTATATGAAACAAGGCGCTTTAACCGTGCTACAAGAGCAGCATATGAAATACGCGACGCATTTGAACAATATTTTAACACTGTAGGAGCTATGTACCGTAGTAATGATTAATACTTGACAATATTCTTGTACCCAATTTTTTATTCCAACCTGTTTATATTAGGAATATGATATCGAATACTTACTTGTAGTTTGCATTTCTGAGGCAATTTAATTTCACAGTTTATGTCTCTATTGTGGTAATTTTTATTTCTTATATCCCACAAACTCTTTCTACAAAAACTAGGCTAATTAAAATTTCACGTCAACCATTTTTATAAAATTATTCGCATTTCCTTTCTTGCAAAGATATCGCCATTTTTCGTCCAGACATATTGGTATTGTTTCAGTTTAGCTAACCTTCTTGCTTCTTTATAGATCAACTTATTTTGCATTGTGAGGTGCTCATTGACATAGAATTCATCAGACCACTCCCTGAATACACATTTTTGGCGATCCATTATTCCTTTGCATTCGTTTTGCTTTTGCAGCAGCCAAGATATTATCTCTTTCCGCACGGGAGACAAAACGAGCAATTATGTTCTTGGTTTTTGATTTAGAGTTTTTATTTATTTGAACTCGATGGATATATTCTATTTTGTCGACCTCGATTTTATAGCCAATGTAATCTCCTATTTTTTTGATCACTTCTGTAAGATTTTCATTTTGTTTTTCTGGTATGCCTTGAATTTCTAAGTTTTTTTTGTCTAGAAACCTGTTCAAGACTATTGATTTTTGTTTGAAGGTTTGACACCTCAGCTTTCAAGGTAGCATTTTCACTAATGAATTTTTCTGTTTTCTTTATATATTCATCGATTTTTGACAGTTTGAGTTCAAAATCGGTTACTTTTTCACTGCAAAATGTAACTGAATTAATTAATGCCACTTGTTGTTCCCGCATTTGCCTAATTTCCATTTTAATCTCCTGCATCGACGTAATAAGCGTATCACTAGTTCCGATGCCACCAGTGCTGCCAGAGCTTAAAGCAAATGATGAGATAGGTAGTTGCATCGGCGTACCCATGGACCGGCGCGCCGAGTCGCCTCTGCTCTCTCTGCAATCGCTACATTTCCAAGTGACACCCTTGGCTCGCAAACTATCCATTTGTTTGCTGCTAATATCTAAGCAGGCCGCAAAAACCATCGCACTGAAGACCTGGGTTGTTGCGATTTACTATATTATCGCAGATTTTGCACTGCTTGTTAGACATTTTGTAGAATAGTTTGATTAATTGAAACTATAGTGATACGTCAATGGTTTGGTTACATAGGCTAAACAGATGAGCTATGCTTACCAATAGCGTGGTTGTAAAAATCACTGTTATATTTAACGAGACTGAGTAAAAAATCACGAATAACTGTGGAGTAACAACACACACGTCTGCTTTCTACATGAATACATAATTTAAACAGTAATTTATAAGCATTAATATTCCTGCTCCAATCATATCAAAGCTCAAAACATTCATTAAGCACACTTTTAGAGAAAATCTGACTCTTATTTTGACTTGATTTCAATTTTGATATAATCTTCTTGGGATGATTAAAGTTTATTGTTCTAAACCACTGAATGATGCATTATCTGATCTAATGGGACATTTGGTTGGGATCCCCGTCAATAGGTGATCTTACAATGTCGTTTACACTTTCTATGAAATAGGTATCCATTTCATCTGCTATTATCTCCTTTTAGGTGGGTGGTACTACTACGCATAAGCGGAACCGTGAATCGAGATTTGTTCCCATTGTTTATAGTTAACTAGTTGCGGGGTAAGTTCCAGCAGTTATTCTGGTTGTAAATCATGAGCACCTGATTCGGCAACAACAGAATGCCCGTAAACATAATAAAGCACGATTGCCGATGGTTCCGGCGTAGCCGTAGCGCAGCGCGGCGCGGCGAGCGCAGCTTGCCGGGGTCTTTGACCCGTTTCATCCTTCTTCTGGTATCCCCCCTTTATCCTTGTCTCCCTTCCCCTGCAGTCTCCTGCCCCCCTCCTCTTAGGCGGTGGTACTACTATGCAACAGCGCCATAGGCGGAACCGTGAATCGAGATTTTTTCCCATCAGCATTGTGCATGTCCTCTCGGATTTTGATGGGTTTTGAGGCAGAGGCGTATCTGAAGGTCGGTTTGCATGACTTAAAAATAATTGGTGCTGAATGAACAACATGGTTTGTACAGGGCGGCCAAGAATGCGAGGGACCTGTATATCGTAGAGGCTTGCGGCAGAAACAGTTATTACTAAAACGATCAAGAGAAAAACCTGGAAAATATTTTCAAGTTTCTGAGATGGCCTCTAGGGGGCGTAAGTGCAATCTTGAATCTAACAAAGTGGTGTTTCTTTTATTTCCGCTATTATTAACCTAACAAAAAAATACCTGATCTATAGAGTTGAGGATAATTTGCACTTTTTTGTTTGACAATTTTTGCTGTATCTTCGAAATGGCTGAGCCGATTTTTACAAGCTTGGGCTAGTTGAAAATAGCTATTCTTGGGCTACAAATAATAATAATATTTGGAGTTTTGTTATTTCACATGTGGCCGCTAAAGGGCTTTCTTCGACATTTTGACAGAAATGGTTAATTTTCTCAAAAAATTAATTCATTTGTATGATTTTTTAATGTAACAGTAGCTAAATGATTTCTAAACAAACTCGCGAAAACCGCATCTTGATATCTTGCTCCTAACCTAAAATTTATATCGAAGAAAATTTTATACTTAATTCCCTTAAATTTTTATTTTTTCAAAACAAATTTTTATGGAATTATTTTTTATTCGTCAGAATAATATCACCCTCTCCGTAAATATATATTTTTTCTCGATTTCGGAAACAAAACCTCATCCTCACCCTGTATCTCGGTAGGTCCCATGCGCTTTTTTTGTTATTTTCTCCCCAAAAATATTGGTACGTCTTTCTGAAACACCCTGTATACACGTGTTCCAAGCTCTCGAATGCTCATCTATAGAGGTAATCGGGTGCTCTTGCCGGTATATAGGAGTTCATTCACACTATGTACAGGCTAACTAAGGAGATGAGGTGATGATCGTACGATTTTTCCTGGATATACATATCTGTTGATAAACGCGAACGCTAACATTTTCTTGTTTGTTCAAATCTACTTTTTTCATAAAAACAATCAGTTGTCATTTTTTAGATCTATGTACTGCCCTTATTGTGGAAAATCGATCTCTAAGTGCTAGTTGCCTCAAATAACGATCCTGTCGCTCCCTAGTCTGTCTTTGACGTCCAGTACCTCTAACTTTAAATATAATACAGATTATGAGATTCAGAGGGGTGATTTTCAAACCTATGGATATGTATGGATGGTCTACGATGAATGGACAAATGAATCATTACCTAATCATCTCCAGCGATCTTGCAGAGGCGAAAAGTTAGACCCGATAGTAGTATTTTAAAACATATTCGAATGAATCGGAGAGTTGTTTTTTTATAGGTCTATAATGTTCATCCTTGATGGGGCGTTTACAGCGGTTCTACAGGGGTGTGAAGTTCGCCTCTGTTGTAGTATTTAAAAAATATATTCGAGAGAATCGATGGATTGTTTTTTTAAATCTATGAGATGGTCAAGTGTCTACTAGTTTTATAACTAACAAAACATGTTCAACAATTTTGAAGACATTTCATTAGAAATTTGAGGTCACCGTGGACCGAGCCTTTTTCCATTTCCACCAAATTCAAAAGGTGGACAAACGAAACTAAATGTTGGACAAATATACACTAACGATGGGCAAACCAGAGAGCAAAACGACAATAACAGACAATATGATCCAACTGAGAACATACCACATTCCAATTTTCTAGAAACATTTTTCTGATCCGCATCAGCATCATATACCTGAGCGCGTTGCATTTCTTCTATCTAAGATCTTTATGTATCAAGATAAATGTTAAATGACTAACAGAGAAATGCCTTCAGCCCGAGGAAATATCAAATTATGTTGTTCTCGGCTGAACGTTTCTACTTTTTTGAGCGGTACGCCGTCAGCTGGCGCAGTTTGCCTAGTAATATTCTTTAACGAAGTCGGTGCTCGCTTAGAATGTACTTTTTGGTCTTGAACTCCCAGATATCATCTGGTGGGTAGATAGAAAATCAGCTTTACTAAGGAGGAGTGAGAACAATATTTGCCAGTACCGTCTTTCTTGGTAAAGCAAATAATCTGTCTTGATCTGTCGAGGTGACCTATGTGCATATACAGGGTGTGCCATTAAGTTAAGTGGATTCAAAAAATCAAAACCAGCTACAAAGTGTAGGGAAGATAATTTATATTTTTAATAAAGTAGACACAAGCGAATTTTATTTTTAAAAATATCAAAAAATCATTGAGATGTGAGCCATCGAGACTTACGCACTCTTAGAATGTCGGCTTCAAATTCGTCGCTCGTGGGATAGCGGACATCTCCTCGGAAATGTTGTGCTTGAGCTGGGCTCTTGAGGTATCCCCAGAGAAAAAAAATCAAGTGGTGCGATATCTGAGCTCCAGGGAGGCCACCGAGTGACTCCTCGTTCGATATCAGTTTTCCACTAAACATTTTATTTACAACTGCTGAAGACTCGTTGGCGGTAAGGGATGTCGCGCCATCTTGTTGAAACCAGGTTCTACTATGGTAGGCTTAAAAATTATGCATTTGTGGAAAGAAAAAGTTACGTAACATTGCTGTTTCAGTCTGACCTTGTTCGTTTTAGAAGAAATATTGTCCGATGAATTTTTCAGCCGACATGGCCGGCCAAACTGTAACATAACGCGAATGCAAAGGTGGTTGGTGTTTTAATTTGGGGCTTTCTGTGGTCCGATGGCGTTAATTTTGCTTGATGACAAATCCACTCAAATAAAAATGAACTTCATCAGAAAAGAGAATATTGTTCAATGAATTAATGAATCGTAAAATTAGAGGCATTCCGGCCACCATAAGCAGCCAATGCATAAGCCGCTTAAATGGGCCCTTATGCACCTCTACATTCCTTAAATCACAAGCCTCGCCTCGACATAGAATGTGCGCCGAGGTCTCTTCCCCTACCCCGCAGCGCTCACACAAGGGATTCTCAGCCACCCCCATCACGTGTGGGTGGCCCCTTAACGTGTTATGGCCAGACAGCAGTTTCACCAGCAGCCTTAGGTTGGCTCTATCCATACATAAGCAGAAACGTCCATCCTTAGCACTGGACCCTTCAATGAGTTTCCGTGCCTGGCGGAGATGTCTGGAGATACTTCTCCATCTCAGAGAGTGTTGTCTTGCAATCCACGTCTCCATTTTCCTCCTAACTCTATGCGCGG